TCGATATCCCTTTTCTTTTACTGACACACTGTGATTGAGTAGGCCTATGTTGTAACAGGCCTGGCTCTCAGTTCGGCAATCAATAAATATTTACACCGCCAAATTTCTCCTCAAACAAAATAAATCCACAATGATTATACTTAGCAAGTTGCTTGAAGAGGATCGGTTATGACTAGATGTCCAGTGAGCGGAAAATTTAAGAAAAAGATAGAGAAATCCTGTATTAATATCTTAGTGTGTGTACGCGGCGGACCTAATGAGAATGGATGTTGGAGTGACCGCTTACGGGAGGTGGTCTCGAGGGAGGTATATAGGCCTACCGAGGTCCCCAACGGGGGAGGGGGAACCGGTTCCCCGGACGAGGGGTCAGATTCCCCCGACGAAAGCAAAGTGGGCGTGGTCGAGCTTCGATTAAAAGGCTCCGAAGGTGGTCCAGGGGGCGAAGCCCCAGAAAATTTTGACAATTTAGGGGTTTCAAAGGTTTATTTAATCGATTTTAAAGTCTACTGATATGTAGAAAATACACATAATTTTTTTTCCTCCCCGACGAATTGTGCTTTTTCTCCCCGACGGGGGGCAGCTCTCCCCGATGAGGTCCTGGCCACCCCTGAATGATGATGGTGGTGACGACAAAGATGTGGATGACGACGAGGAGAATGATGATCATCATCAACATAAAAATAATTGTCATCTTCTATTTCTCTTAATCAAAATTTTCAATTTTAGATTTGTTCATTTCTTTTCCTACTGCAGCTTTCCATTATGTTGATCTTCGTCGCCATCATTCTGGGAACGTTCTCAGTGTCCAGTGCATGTAAGATTATCTGAAGTTTTTATTTTATATTTTAGATTTAACTTTACTTTGGTTGACTAAACATGCATAATATCTTTATATTGTTACTAAAATATTAAAATCAAAATCCACAGACTGCACTGAAAACAACGATTAAACAATGTTAAAATTCAGTTAAATGCATGTTAAAATATTATAACATTAGGAAGAGGTAAAATATTAAAAGCAGCATTAGGCTAAAGTGGTTTAAAATTGCAATAACATTAACCCATTATTTAAATGTCTCATGGCATATTAAAATTAGAAGGAGGTAAAATATTAAAACATGGAAGTCTTTTTTAAACTATCAATAAAATTTACTTTTGCCATATTTCATTAAACTTTCTAATGGCAGATGGAAGAAATGATTCTTTAATCCTCTCTGTCTTCCATTGTGGATACGTTATGCGACCAGTTCGGCTAATTTTAATATACTTATAAAGACGATGATGATTTGGGTCTGATATTTTATTCATGTTGAGTTGACTTAGATTATTAAACCAATTTTACAACTAAAAATTATTTATAAATTTAAAAACATCATTAACTACATATCTAATAGGAATAGCTAACTATAAAGGAAGCAACTCTGTAAATGCTCGTATAAGCCCTGCGGCGCTTATAAAACTGTTGGAGGCGCTTCGTTGCAGCGCTTATTCGAGAGCGGCACTCAATTTTTATTTATTAAAAAAAATGTACACGCTAGCCTAGGGTATTTCTGAAAAATATACAAAACAACAGTCTGAAAACTGTGATTGCGTTTTATATGTCGCTATAAGGTCTTTCCATATGATTGCAACACACTTTTTTGCCCGACCCTTTTGAAATCGCCCAATAGTTTGCCTGTTGGGGGTTCTACCTAGGGTGGAGGTCTACCTGAGATAACCCCACAATGAAGTTTCTTTGGCTCCGCGCCAGCATTTTTAGTCGAGTTAGCTAGAGTAATTCGAAATTTTAATGGGATTTGACAAAAAATTCGCCTTGTGACAGGCAACTGCATATCTCTCTGCATGAAACTCAAAATATTGGGAAAAAATTATTCTCTTTTCAGTGATATGCAACTCGATGATGTCCGGACTATTAAGAGATATATAGGTCAAATTACGTGACCTTGCCCACAATGAAACTTTAAGGGCATCATGGGGGCTAAGTGTCCTAACTTAGGTGCGAATTTCCCGAAAATCGAGATACAGTATAGGCCTATACTTTTGTGATATTTTTTTGTCAAAGGTCACTCTTACTAGTCCGGACATCATCGAGTTGCACATCATTGGACAGAGAATCTCAATTTATTCAAAAATAATCTCCAAACAAGAAGCCTACATAAAAGCACTTTAAAATATTGGAAATTAAACATTGACTTAAATTATAATATGTCGTTCTTATATAGCGCTTCATGCATTGAAGGCCTCTAAAGAGCTTCACATTACTACCCCGGACCATTGGATCAAACACATATGGAACACCAAAATAAATTAGTAAATGAAATTATATTATCATTCTATAAATTGCAGCTAGTAATCAGCGCAATTCTTTACCGCTCCTAGAGAATTATAAAATGTCAAATAATTTAAACACTTCACAAGGTCACTAAACTTACATCTACGAGCAGAATGCTAAATGGTAATCTTTCTATAAACGTACATACAATAATACTTTGATTTTCGAGAGAGGTATAAGCAGTTGTCTGGCACAAGGTGAATTTTGTAGTCAAATCCAATGTAAATTTTAAATTGCTATAACTCATCTGAAAATGCTGGCCCGAAGCCAAAAATTTCACTGTGGGGTTATCTCAGGTAGAACCCCAACGGGCAAAATATTGGGCGATTTCAAACGGGTCGGGCAAAAATAGTGTGTTGGATCTATATGGAAACACTTTATAGGCATAGGGATTATCTAAAACAAATAGGCCTATCAAAGATATTTTCCAAACAATTTCTATGAAAGAGAACATTGTTATCGCTGGCCTAAGGTAGCAGCCTACACCACACCGCAATCACGCCACCGCCACCAACATAGTACACGATTAGGAATTACACAAACTGACCTATAGGCATATTTTCATAGTCATGGTTTCGTAGCGCTTGTTTTCGGTCTCGCTGAATTCGAATATTGTAACTAAGCATACAGGTTTTAAACAATCATATTAATTTGTGATGATGATTAACAGAAAATTACAAAAAAAAAAAAATAAACTTAACACATAAAAAATTACTTTTAAACAATTTATTCAAAATTGTCACGACCCTTCAACTGTATGCGTCGCCAAAGGTTGTTAAGGCGTCTGCATTATAATATACAGCACAAGGTCCTGGTTCGAATCCGGGTTGGGGAAATTCTTTACACACTCCCAGATTATTCTTCTTTACCGTTTAAAAAAATAGATATAACCCCATTTCTATCTCGTTGTCACTATCATATCCCCATAACATATTTGGTTTGTTGTATAAACATTCCTTTTCCTTCTTTTATTTTAAGAGGAAATGTCCCACTCAACAAAATTGATTTTCAGACAATCACAACAGAAAAACGTCAATAAATGTTTTTTGTAGTTTTTTTTTAAATAGTATAAAAATATATCATTATTAAATTTAATTGTTTTCCTTTAAAAGCTATGTAAAAAAAGAATATATATATATATATATATATATATATCATTATGTAAAAAATAATCACGCCCAAACAAGAACAACCAAATATATCAAACAATGTTATGTGTACCGGTCACGTCGAGGAGAGGAAGCTTAAGTATCCTTTTAAAGGAAGAACTTGACAATCCCACACTGCATTTAATTGTGAAAGGAAGGGAGTTCAAATAGTTAGCTGCCCAACACCCAATAAAATTTCTAACATAGTTCCGAGTAGCTTTATAGGGGTAGATGTTGTATAAATCCTTTCCGGCCCTAGAGGTGATAGAGGTTCTTTTACAATTGAGATCGATAACCGGAGAAGGAGCCAATGAATAGAAGCATTTAAAAATGAAAAGAATAATATGGAATTGCCACCGTGTGGAGAGATCCATCCAGTTAAGTTCTCGTAGCGGTTCTTGAATTGAAGTTCTGGGACTTAAGCGTTTTTTGATAAACCTAATCCCTCAATTAAAGATAATATATAAAGGATAAATAATGAAATTTTAAGTCTGAGACCAAGCAACACTACAGTATTCTAAATAAGGACGAACAAGACTGTTAAACAGGGTGATTTTAACATCAAGCGGGAGGAAACCAAAATGACACATTGTGTTTTCTATTTCAGGTACAAATGCGACACCGTATACTTAAAATGCAAAGGTCCGAAACTTAAATCTCTCTAAAAACTTATCAATGGATCCAAATGAAACTTTCTAGAATAGTTTGCCAAAATTTGAAGAAATGAAGAAATGTTCAAATTTCTCTGACGATGCGAAGTCGGGTGTTGTGGATAAGAGGACCATTTAAGGAATACTTTTGGACCATATAAACGCAAGCTGCGTTATCTAAAGATTTTCAACCGTGAAATGCATCAGTAAATTTCGCTCTTAATCACTGAATTAGCGTGATATTACACAAGGTAAATAAACTAAAAATTCACCAATCTACGCAGAATCGGCTCATATAGCGCGCAATTGTTGCAGCTATAGTTCGAGTCTCACTAACGTCCCGTTATTCTGCAAGTTGACTTTCATTGTATATTTTTTTACTTCATCATAATTCTCTTTACTAGCATTTAATATTATTTTTGTTTTTCGTGTGTTTTTTACTTTATACTTTTTTTGTTGTTGCAACAATTCCAACATCACTTCTTAAAATGGCAATGAGGAAAAGCCATTTGTTCTGTTGAATAAACAGACATAGTAAGTCTAGTTACGTTTTGTGTGCATGTGTGTGTGGGTGTGGGTGTGGGTGTGTGTGTGTGAAAATTATTAGGAGTTTAATAAAGCAAATACAAATAAACAGGCATATTTATTTTCACTTTAGGGGTTTACCTAGGCGGTTTTGAGGACAAGCAGTTGATTTGGGTTTCCCAACTGGTCTTTTAATTAACACTTCTTCTCCGAAAGCGGTCTTAAAAAATCAATATAATATAGTACTTGATTTGTTAATGAATGCACAAATATGCCTAATAATAATAACATAAAATGGATACTCAGCTGTTGTTTACCCAGGCAGCGTCAGTGGGCTATGGGGTACTGGACTGGGGTTTATCAGGTACTGCTAACCATAACCTGAAAACAGGTACCGTAAACTATTAAATTAATTGCAATTTAACTAGTTAATACAAAATATATTAAACAATTAATATTAAATCAATCTAATATGTTTCAAATATCATCTTTCTAATATTTCTCTTTAATTTTGGAAGTGATGTCATTTTACTTGGTTGTAGGGTGATTAGTTTGTTCTAATAATGTTGCCTTCGATAAATATTGATCTTTTACTTATGTCTACTCTATTGGATGGGATGTACTTCTTGTTAGCGCTTCGTTCGTAATGTCTTTGCGCGATCTCTTAGACCAGAGATAAAAGAACAATTTAAGATGTGTGTAAATGGGACGGCTATTAATTGATTCGCAATCTTGGGGATATATCATTACCATCGTAGCCAGGACTTTTACTACCATATATATTATTAATGATATTGAATACTTCGTTTTCTTTTACAGATACGATAAATATGATACACAGTTGACATATTATAGGAACAATTTTTTTAGTCACGAATATTTCGTCCTGTCTTAAGGACCTCTCAACGTGAAGAAAACACACGCCTTCAACAAAATATTCAACAAAAATACACTAAAAGCCGGATGGATAATATGGCTAAAGCTATGTCAGCGCACACAACTAGAACCCGCTGAAACCTAAAGAGGCTATCAAAACTCAATTGCCCATTACAAGAAAAGTGCGTGGTAATCAGTCATTAACAAAGCCACTATCACAACCAACCAAGAAAACAAGTATATCAGCGTGAAAACGACTTCAAATCCCGATACAATAATCATACTATGTCATTCTGGTCAGCAAAACATCGCCTAGGAACCGAATTATCCAAGTACATCAGGAACCTAAAGGATCTTATGTTTTAAGATCATCTTAGTTTTTAGAGGCGAAATTACAAGAAAATAACTGTTGTAATCGTTTGAGAATTGGTGGTACTATAAATCGAAATATATATGAGTAAAATTTGCCAGGTAGTAAATTTTCTGTTATTTTCACAGAGTTGTTGACTAAAGGGCTTAAAGCCACGCAGAGTTCTCTTGGATGGAAGGGTATCCCATTTAGAGCAATTGATGGTAACTTTGCTACCGACTACGGCGAACAAAGCTGTACACACACACGTAAGTGCACACACACACCTTTGAAGCAATGCTTTGAAAGAAACATATATGCCTAAAATTACGAGTTCATTTAGTTTCACTTGAACACTAATAAACCTTAATATTGATGATAACTATAACATTACTGTAATAATAATAATAATAATAATAATAATAATAATAATAATAACAACAATAGTGATAATAATAATAATAATAATAATAATAATATATTATTATCGTTAGGCTATAATAATAATAATAATAATAATAATAATAATAATTATTATTATTATTATTATTATTATTATTATTATTATACTGTTTACTTGTGTCTTTATTCATATTTGGTATTATTATATATTTCAATAATATTAATATCTTATAGTCTGTATCTGATAATTTTAATCAAAATTGTATTGTTTTTAATTAATCGTTGGTCTTTTTTGTGTAATGAATTTTTAACTGTAAATTTGATGCAATTCAGCATTATGTTGCTTATCAAATATCGAATAAAATTGAAATTTAAAAAAATTAAATATTATTAATAATATTTATACTAATAATAAAAATTATGTAATAACATAATAGACGTAGTATTGATTATTCCTATAACATCTAGTGAAGCAACCTGAAAATTGGTGGATGGTGGATCTAGGAAAATCCTACAGGGTTAAAGAAGTGAAAATTTACAATCGAGCAGGTATGTGAACACGACCACATTATAGGATGTTTCCATACACAATTTCCTAGCAATATCATTGAAATTCATTATTAACCATTGACACCGGTTCAATTCCATCCGCTGCTCCGCTTTGTGTTTCATTTGTAGGGCTGCAATGCAATAACAAGCGCACATATTCTAGGAGACAATTGGCCCCATACCACACGGCTCATCCCTTTAAAGAACGGATATCAGTCACCATCAGAAAAACCCTACTGGAAATAAGTCGTCGAACTCTCATTAGTTATCATTTATGTTCACACTGCAGGCTATATAGAATTCAATCCACATAATGTATGAGAACTTGGACAAAGTACCACGTTTTTTATAATTTTTATGGAAAAAGTTATTTATATATATATAAAAAAAAAAAACAATTGCTTATGTGATGATCGTTAGTTAGTAGCTTTTAACATCTCTATTCACAACAATGGTACAAATTGTAACGAGATTTTTGGGCAGTATTTATTGACAGACACTGTGCAGATTCGATATATATTTATATCGTTTAAGATTGCTGCAAGGATCGATTGAATGGTGCCACCGTCCGTGTCGGAGATAACGCTAATGGTATGCTGACTAATGCCGTATGTGGAGAGCCAATAAAAGTTGGCACCAGCTCCGTGATTATTCGAAAGTGCACACTTGAAGGACAATACGTTAGTGTTTCGCTGAAGAACCAATACCTGACGCTTTGTGAGGTCGAGGTTTTTGGAGAAGGTATGGATATAATTTTTTTACTATGAACAGATGGATGATGAATGAATGTATGAATGAATGAAAGAATGGATTAATAAATTAAAGCATGAATGAATGAAGAGTACTATTTTATGGTACAAACATATTAAGGCAAACTCAGAATATAAATGCTACACCTGTCCTTTTGTCACCACCACCAGCGCAACATATTTAGAATTGTGTAGGCATTGTGGTTTCTATCTCAGTAGATATAACACGACCTGACACTTTAACTGGTAACTATTTCTTTTATGGCAATAAGCCTATAGAGTACAACAAAACCAGGTGGCCCCTTTGTTGTCGATCAGACGTTGGTTACCGTTCATTACGCCTAAATGACTTCATAATCTAAATGGTTTAGAATAGGCTTTCTGGAATAGGCTTTTTAAAACCTAATAGTTTACCATCAAAATGTACTAAAAACAGAAAAGCTCACATAATTTAATTATGAATTAAAATTTACAAAGAAGAATTAAGATAAAACACCTTAAAGTTTACGATAGAAATTGGGGTCAATGGTTTGTCAGTGCTAAAACTGGCGTCCGGTTGAACGCATTTTATGTCGCCAATAGCAACGGAGTAGTATCACGTGATATCGTGGTATCGTGACGTAACACTGTAGTACTCTATATGGAAAAAGGAAAATGAGAGACTTTTCAAAAATATTAATAGATCATATCACATTACAAATGCTGTTTATTATTGTTATTATTCAGATGTCGAAGTTTTATTCTTGTGACCAGGTTACATTGGCGGATCTGGGGGTGAGGGCGCTTAGCGAAAAAAAAATTACGTTTGGTGCGGAGCTTATTCGAGGGCTTAAAATAAAGTTTACATCTTAAATTTTGAAGGCGAAATTACAAGAAAATAGTGACTATTGTAATTGTTTGAGAATTGACGGTACTATAAATATATATATATATATATGAATATATATGAGTATAATTTGCCAGGTGGTAAATTCTCGGTTATTTTCACAGAGTTGTTGACTATTAAAGGGCTTAAAGCCACGCAGAGTTCTCTTGGATGGGAGGGTATCCCAGTTAGAGCAATTGATGGTAACTTTGATACCAACTACGGCGAAAAAAGCTGTACTCACACAAGTAAGTGCACACACGTTTGAAGCAATGCTTTGAGAGGAACATAGGCCCTATGCCTAAAATAAAGTTACGGGTTCTTTTAGATTCACTAGAGCACCAATATTGACAATAATTAACAATATCATTAATATAGATAGATGATAACAATAACATTACTGTAATAATAATATAATAATAACATACTATCTTTAGGCTATTATTATCTTTAGGTTATTATTATTATTACCATTAATATTAATTTTACTTTATAAAATTTCCTCCAATTTTAAAGTTTTCTCATTTTGCTTGTGTCTTTATTCATATTTGGTATTTTTACTATTATTAATATCTTACGGTCTGTATCTGATAATTTTAATAAAAAATGTATTGTTTTTCATTAATTGTTATTCTTTTTTGTAATTAATTTTTAACTTTAAATTTGATGTATAAGCTATATGCTTCGTATCCAAAATCCAATGAAATTGAAATTTAAAAAATTAAATATTATCAATAATATTTATACTAATAATAATATTATAATATTAGTATTAAACCTAATAGACGTAGTATTGATTCTCTCTAACATCTAGTGAAGCAACCTGAAAATTGGTGGATGGTGGATCTAGGAAAGTCCTACAGGGTTAAAGAAGTGAAAATTTACAATCGAGCAGGTATGTGATCACTAGCACATTATAGGATGTTTCCATCTACAATTTGCTAGCAAAATCATTATTAACCATTGACACCGGTTCAATTCCATCCGCTGCTCCGTTTTGTGTTTCATTTGTAGGGCTGCAATGCAATAACAAGCGCACATATTCTAAGAGACAATTGGCCCCATACCATACGGCTCATCACTTTAAAGAACGGATATCAGTCACCATCAGAAAAACCCCACTGGAAATAAGTCGTCGAACTCTCATTAGTTATCATTTATGTTCACATTGTAGGCCTATATAGAATTCAATCCACATAATGTATGAGAACTTGGACATAAGTACCACGTTTTTTATAATTTTTATGGAAAAAGTATTTACATAAAAAAAGAACAATTGCTTATGTGATGATCGTTAGTTAGTAGCTTTTAACATCTCCATTCACAACGATGGTACAAATTGTGACGAGATTTTTGGGCAGTATTTATTGACAGACACTGTGCAGATTCGATATATATTAAAATATCGTTTAAGATTGCTGCAAGGATCGATTGAATGGCGCCACCGTCCGTGTCGGAGATAACGCTAAGGGTATGCTGACTAATGCCGTATGTGGAGAGCCAATAACAGTTGGCACCAGCTCCGTGATTATTCAAAAGTGCACACTTAAAGGACAATACGTTAGTGTTTCGCTGAAGAACCAATACCTGACGCTTTGTGAGGTCGAGGTTTTTGGAGAAGGTATGGATATAATTTTTTTTACTATGAACAGATGGATGATGAATGAATGTATGTATGAATGAAAGAATGGATTAATAAATGAAAGCATGAATGAATGAAGAGTACTATTTCATGGTACAAACATATTAAAGCAAACTCAGAATATAAATGCTACACCTGTCCCTTTGTCACCACCACCAGCGCAACATATTTAGAATTTTGTAGGCATTGTGGTTTCTATCTCAGTAGATATAACACGACCTGACACTTTAACTGGTAACTATTTCTTTTATGGCAATAAGCCTATAGAGTACAACAGTCGCGTCGTCACAAAACCAGGTGGCCCCTTTGTTGTCGATCAGACGTTGGTTACCGTTCATTACGCCTAAATGACTTCATAATCTTAATGGTTTAGAATAGGCTTTCTGGAATAGGCTTTTTAAAACCTAATAGTTTACCATCAAAATGTACTAAAAACAGAAAAGCTCACATAATTTGTTATCGAACACACATTTAATTATGAATTAAAATTTACAAAGAAAAATAAGATACAACACCTTAAAATTTACGATAGAAATTGTGGTCAATGGTTTGTCAGTGATAAAACTGGCGTCCAGTTGAACGCATTTTGTGTCGCCGATAGCAACGGAGTAGTATCACGTGATATCTTGGTATCATGACGTAAGACTGTAGTACTCTATATGGAAAAAGGAAAATGAGAGACTTTTCAAAAATATTAATAGATCATATCACATTACAAATTCTAGATGTCGAAGTTTTATTCTTATGACCAGGTTACATTGGCGGATCTGGGGGTGAGGGCGCTTAGCAAAATAAAAAAAATTACGTTTGGTGCGGCGCTCATTCGAGGGCTTAAAATAAAGTTTACATCTTAGATTTTGAAGGCGAAATTGCAAGAAAATAGTGACTATTGTAATTGTTTAAGAATTGACGGTACTATAAATATATATATATATGAATATATATGAGTATAATTTGCCAGGTGGTAAATTCTCTGTTATTTTCACAGAGTTGTTGACTAAAGGGCTTAAAGCCACGCAGAGTTCTCTTGGATGGAAGGGTATCCCAGTTAGAGCAATTGATGGTAACTTTGATACCAACTACGGCGAAAAAAGCTGTACTCACACAAGTAAGTGCACACACACGTTTGAAGCAATGCTTTGAGAGGAAAATAGGCCCTATGCCTAAAATAAAGTTACGGGTTCTTTTAGATTCACTAGAGCACCAATATTGACAATAATTAACAGTAACATTAATATAGATGATAACAATAACATTACTGTAATAATAATATAATAATAACATACTATCTTTAGGTTATTATTGTTATTATTATTATTATTATTATTATTATTACTATTAATATTAATTTTACTTTATAAATTTTCCTCCAATTTTAAAGTTTTCTCATTTTGCTTGTGTCTTTATTCATATTTGGTATTTTTACTATTATTAATATCTTACGGTCTGTATCTGATAATTTTAATAAAAATTGTATTCTTTTTCATTAATTGTTAGTCTTTTTTGTAATTAATTTTTAAATTTAAATTTGATGTAATTTAGCTATATGCTCCGTATCAAATATCCAATGAAATTGAAATTTAAAAAAATTAAATATTATCAATAATATTTATACTGATAATAATATTATAATATTATTATTAAACCTAATAGACGTAGTATTGATTCTTTCTAACATCTAGTGAAGCAACCTGAAAATTGGTGGATGGTGGATCTAGGAAAGTCCTACAGGGTTAAAGAAGTGAAAATTTACAATCGAGCAGGTATGTGTTCACGAGCACATTATAGGATGTTTCCATATACAATTTGCTAGCAATAACACCATTGAGGTTCATTGTTAAACTTTGATACATATCGAAGCAGCTCCTTTTTGTTGTACGGGTTGCAATGCAAGTTTATAAAAAGCGCACCATATTCTAAAAAAGACCATTGGCACCATACGGCTCATGTGCACGTTAACGAACAGTTTCAGTCCAGTGGCTTTGCCAGCGGGGGCAGGGCTCAAGAAAGTAATATATCCTAGAGCCGCGACTGATTCAGTCACCACCAGAAGAACCCAACTGGGAAAAGTCGTGAGACTCTCATTGGTTACCCATTTGTGTTCCCACTGAATATATAGAATTCAATTCACATAAGAACTTGGGAAAAATACCAAATTGGAATAATTTTTATAAAAGAAAGTATTTATATAAAAAAAATGCTTATGTGATAATCGTCAGTAGCCTTTCACATTTCCATTCACAACAATGGTACAAATTGCAACGAGGTTTTGGGGCAGTATTTATTGACAGACACTGTACAGATTCGATATATATATATATATATATATATATATATATATATATATTAAAAACATATTTAAAATGTCTTTTAGATTGCTGCAAGGATCGATTGAATGGCGCCACCGTTCGTGTCGGAGATAACGCTATGGGTATGATGACTAATGCCGTATGTGGAGAGCCAATAAAAGTTGGCACCAGCTCTGTGATTGATCGAAAGTGCACACTTAAAGGACAATACGTTAGTGTTTCGCTGAAGAACCAATACCTGACGCTTTGTGAGGTCGAGGTTTGGGGAGAAGGTAATTATATACAATTTTATAAAATTTTGAATAAATGGATGAATGAATGTATGAATGAAAAAAATAAATTAATCAATTAACGAATGAATGATTAGTAATATTTCATGGTACAAACATATAAGGCAAACTCAGAATATAAATACTTCATCTGTACAATATGCCTATATATATATATAT